CAGAATCAAGTTGCCATATTTCAAAAAGTAAAAACCAGGATGCCCCAAAAGTTGTTGAGCTTTCAAAAACACGAAAAAAAGTGTTGCGTTTCAGAAATTCCTCCTGGATGTCAATTCTGCCTTTGAAATCCCAGTTATGTCTGGGAAAATCCAGAAGTATGGCAGCCCTAAATACATTACTTCTGGTAAGTGAGCCATCATAGCCACTAGAGGGCCACGAATATTTGTGTTCTGGGCTTTTTAGTCTCATCTACCCCTAAGGGACGCGGGTGGCGCTGTGGGTTAAACCACAGAGCCTAGGACTTGCCGATCAGAAGGTCGGTGGTTCGAATCCCCACGACGGGGTGAGCTCCCGTTGCTCGGTCCCTGCTCCTGCCAACCTAGCAGTTCGAAACCACGTCAAAGTGCAAGTAGATAAAGAGGTACCGCTCTGGCGGGAAGGTAAACGACGTTTCCGTGCGCTGCTCTGGTTCGCCAGAAGGGGCTTAGTCCTGCTGGCCACATGACCCGGAAGCTGTACGCTGGCTCCCTCGGCCAATAAAGCGAGATGAGTGCTGCAACCCAGAGTCGTCTGCGACTGGACCTAATCGTCAGGTGTCTGAAACCAAAGGGGCCCTTGTTTGCCAGATGTGAATTTTATTCCAGCTCTCCTGCCGCACTAGAAGGTTTTGTGTCTGGTCTGAGCACCCGGCCAGCGTGCAGAGAGCCAGGGTGGGCTGGCGAAGGGAAGGGACAGGCTGGTGAGTGGAGGGGTGCAGCCGGGTACCAATGGCCCATCATTGCTTGCGCCGGAGCAGTGGGCTGGGACGGCTTCTTGCTTTGAGCCCCTCCTGCCCCCTTTCCTACAGAAGGGAGCTGAATTGTGCAGGAGCTGAGCTGTGTGCTGGTCCAGGGCTCTTGACGAGGCTTCTTGGCAAGCGAGGGCTTTTCCCTTAGCAGGGACATCTTGGGGCCGAGTCGTTCCCAGAGAAAGAGGTGGCATCCCTTTGTCTGAACAAATCCTTCAGTCTTTGAGGCAACCAACCCCCCCCTCTTTTGGAAAGGTCTTTTGCTCAGCTCCCTGCCTAGTAAGCATTGGGGGTATCTGTCCCCCTCTTCCCCAGGTAGCAATGCTGGGATGGCTGCAGCACCCACCCACCCCAGCCTGGGCACCCCCCTCTCTGAGCTGTGGCTTTTTCCTCTCTCTGTGTTCCTGCCCTTTGGCTATGGGAATTTCCAGTCACCTGCCGCCCTTCTCCTTTGGGCTTCTGGGACTGGAGAGGAAGCTGTTCTCCCCCAGAGCTTCCTGGGTCCCGGCAGGGGGTGCCTGTGCCGTTCTTGCCCCTGGTTTGCAAGGGAGCCGGTTCCCTCCCTCCTCCAAGGAAGTTCAGCAGGTGGTGTATCGGCTTCCCGCCGTGTAAAGGGCTTGTGCTGTGTTTGCCTTGCAGGGCGAAGGTGCAGAAGAGGCCGGGGGCCAGCTCCGCTCAGCCCTGCGAGAACATTGTGGTAGCCTACTACTTCTGCGGAGAACCCATCCCCTACCGCACGCTGGTCAAAGGCCGTGTCGTCACCCTGGGCCACTTCAAGGAGCTGCTCACCAAGAAAGGGAACTACAGGTGAGCAGGGAGGGATGCCTCGGGTCCCTGGGCAAGAAGCCTTGCCTCTGGTGCTTCCCCTCTTTGGCTCGTGGCCTCCAGCCTCTGCCCCTGGGGATGACAAGTCCCACAAATGTGTGGGCCCCAACTCTGTCGGTTGGCACAGAAGCAGGAAAGAGGCAGGGGGAGGGTGCCTGGGAGATGGATCGCTGTGCAAATCTCACCTTCGCAGAACCAAGCCAAGAGGTATTTGGAGAAGGAAACTCAAGTCAAAACCCGATTTTGTTTGCATCAGAGCTGAGGAAGCCTGTGCCAAGGGAAACCCCAAACACACTAAATGGCACGTCATGTTCAGAGTTGCACGCTTTCTTCTAAACTGACAATTTCCTCTTTTTTTTTTTTTTTTGCAGAACCTCTCCTTTAGTTTATTGGCAGAGAGCGGAATGGGCCCATTTTAGAGGTGGAGGTGGCAGGAGTCGGGGGCACCTGAGCTGTGAGGGGAGCCCTTTGTCAGCGCAGCCATGCACCACATGACCCTTCTTGTATTCTGATGAGGACTAGAAACTTGCTTTAAAGCAGGGGGAGCTGTGGGGACCCTCCTGGTGTCACCAGATTTCAGCTCCCAGCAGCATGGCTAGCGGTCAGGAATGATGGGAACTGCAGTCCTGGAGCGACACAGATTTCTCTACCCCAGTTTAAAAAGTGCGCTGGCCTGCCGGTCATTCTGCATCAGGATCCGCAGAGGGTTTGGCTCATCAGCCTGCTCCGCGGAACCCCTGCAAAAGTTTGTGCATTTCCTCTGTCCTCGTCACTTGTGCTAAAACATGTCGGTGGTTTCCAGTGAATCTATGTAGAGTTGGGGCTCGGAGGACAGGGCCCAGCTGCAGGGAAGGGGGGGGGTTTGGCCCGGGGTCCTCCTTGCTGCTCCCTTTGCCTTCTGCCTTGGGTTTGTGCTGGAAAGGCCCCCAAGCGCCCTGCTGAGCCTCTGGATCCCCCACACTCTCTGTCCCCCATCTTGCAGGTATTACTTCAAGAAAGTAAGCGACGAGTTCGACTGCGGCGTGGTGTTCGAAGAGGTGCGGGAGGATGAGGCCATCCTGCCCATTTTTGAGGAGAAGATCATTGGGAAGGTGGAGAAGATTGACTAGCCCAGAGGAGGCCGAGCGAGACGGAAGCAGCCAGAGATGGGCGGAAGCGCCGGCCAGGGAGGGGGGCAGGGGGGGCACCGGCAGCACTGGCATCCTTCCACACCCGCTGCCCAGAATGGCTCTGCCTTCCCCCTGTCTGCCTGTGGGGCGGCCACCAGCCCCCTCAACATAACGCCGATGCTTTGCGCATTAGGGGGCCGTTCACCGAAGCCGCCCGTTTTGATATCATCAGGAACGGGGCGGTCCAGCCACCCCCCCAAAAAAAGTGCACATGCTCCTCTGGGACGGGGAGGGCGGCAGCAGCCCCACAGGTGGGGAAGCTCCAAAGGGTGCTTGTTCACCCGTGGAACGAGCTGCCACTTGATACTTTGCACCTTGCTGCTCTACGGCTGGCGACTGGCCCCTCCATCTCAGCCCGCGGCCTTTCCACGCCTTGCTGCCCACCTTGCTAGGTCAGAGGGGTTGGGGAGGGGGGAGTCTTGAGGAGAGAGCAGATTTCATCGTCTAGAGAAGGGGCAGCCTGGTATTTGCTGGGAGGTGGGACGGGACCTCTGGGCTGCCCCTTTGAGCCTCCTCCTTGCGCCCCATAGATCTGGGTGTATTCAGTGCCCCTCACCCTGGATGGTGGCTGCCCCTGCTCTGCCTCCCTGCCGGGGGCAGCCTTCGCCTCCCCAGTTGCCTGATCCCCCCCCCTGCCTCTCTCCAGGTACCCCTGGGCTGTGGGGGGCACCTGCCCTCGCCAGAGCCCTGCACCTTCTTGCGTACGTCACCGAGTGCCTTCAAACGCCTGTTCTGTTGCCACCCACTGCCCCGGACGGCCTCCTCCCCGGGTCCCGCTTGCCCTCTGTGCCGGCGGGGACCCCGAAGGCCTCAGACCCCTTGCGGGTTTTTCATTTCCCTTTTTTCCTGAAGGGTTCCCTTGTAAATATGTACATTTTCTAAAGACGGCATCAGCCACCAGCGGTTGGGCCAGCGGCTGGCATCTCCCGAACGTTTTTTTCACATGTTGACTTGTACAATTTATCTTTTAAAAGGTACTTGGATAATAATGGAATAAAAGCCCATGTTCAGATGGCAGCTCTGCGTGTTTGTGAGTTGTGTGGGTTGCCGTCCTCTGCTTGCGTTGGGGGGGGCCAGGCCTGCTCTGACATGGACTATTTGGGGCACCGATCAGCTCACCCTTCACTGAGACCCCTCAGGAACTGAGCTCACTCAGATGTGGCCAACAGGCAGCCCTGGAAGACTCTGGACATGCTCTGGGACCCTTTTTCCATGGGGGGGGGGGACAGCAGCAGAAGCAACGTTGCTCTTGCAACGGACCCTCAAGGGGGGGGGATTCTTTGCACAAGGATGTCGTATCAACTGCCCTGCCCCCCAATCACTCACTCTCAGACCCCTGTGTGCCCCATCTGCAGGGCTGTGTGGGCTGATAGCAAGGTGCTGCCTTGGCTTGCTTTGGGGGCCAGGACGGTGGGACATTGCTTGGGTGAAGCACACTCTTAATTAATTAGAGCAGGGGTCAGCAAACTCTTTCAGCAGGGGGCTAGTCCACTGTCCCTCAGACCTTGTGGGGGGCCGGACTATATTTTTTTTGGGGGGGGGAATGAACAAATTCCTATGCCCCACAAATAACCCAGAGATGCATTTTAAATAAAAGCACACATTCTACTCATGTAAAAACACACTGATTCTGGGACCGTCCGCAGGCCAGATTTAGAAGGCGATTGGGCCGGATCTGGCCCCCGGGCCTTAGGTTGCCTACCCCTGATTTAGAGGATAGGCCTTGGGTCAGCCCTTGTCCCCATCCCCAAATGGTCTGTGCTTGCTGCCTTTCCCTTCTCCCTGAGGAAGAGTCCTGTGTGACTTCTAAACTAGCACTGCCACCTTCTAACTAAGCTGCAGAGATTTGCAGCTTTCTCCCCGGGATGGAGGCCGCCGCTGGGGAGGGTGGGACACGGGGGGCTGCTGTCAATGAAAGGGCTGGTGCTGCAATTATCTGCATGTTTTTAATAGATCATCATGATTGATAGATGATAGATTTCTGCTAGTGCTCCATTGCTTTTCAGTTGTTGCTTCCTTCCGGTGTTTTTGTCTGTGAGCCACCTTTGAGTCCCTTTCAGGGAGAAGGCAGGATATAAATAAATATATAAAAACGAGGAGGAGGAGGAGGAAGGGGCTGCTGGTCTCTTCCCAGGGCAGCATTTAGGCAGGAGTGGGAGCCTGATCCGGGGGGGGGGGGCGAAGGGAGCTGTTGTCCCCTACATTGCACAACTCTCACACGTGGCGGCTGTCCCAGATCCTCAGGTTTTTGGCCACCGGCAAACGTGCAGCGGAGCCACGAAGGAAGCGATGCCCTCGGAGGCCATGGCCGGCTCTACAGCTCGTCCCTTGGTTCTGGGGAGCCTGGTGGGCTCGTTCGATTCTCCTGGGGTTCTTCGGGGGTCTCGGCAGCCTGGAAAGCCAGAGCCCAGTGTCACCGTGGGAATAGGGACAGACTCAATGTTCGGAGTGGGCACGAGGGGTTGCCGCTGAAACTCACCTTGGTGTCGTCCTGGGGAGGGACCTCACCCCCGTTCTCCAAGAACGCCGAGAAGGATTCCAGGTCTCTGGCGCTCCGGTACTCGATCATCTGGGGTGGAAAACGGGGGGTGTTGGCCTGGCTTTGCCCCACAAGCAGCTGCCGCCTCCCTTCTACCTCCTGGGGGAGCCTCCTTGCTCTACTGTCCCGGAGGACCTGGGCACATCCTGCGGCCACAGTCCCCCCCCCCCACACCACGGGGCACCTGCACTACCTTCTTGTCCTGCCCTGCAGGGAAGTAGTAGAGCGTTGGGTAGGCTCGGATGGGGAGCCCTGCTACTTCGTTGGCCGTGGCGTCCATCTCGGCGATGAGGATGTCCTCACGGTCTTTATATTTCTCGCCCAGCTCTGCCCAGGTGGGTGCCATCGCCTTGGAGTGCGGGCACCAGGGGGCATCTGTGGAAGCGGAAGAGAAGGGATGGAGTTAGGAAGACGCAAGTCTGTTTTGTCGTCAGGCCGGTTCACCAACTGCAGCCCTCTCTGGAGAAAGCTGACCTGGTTTCAGTTGTGCAGGCTGCGTCCCTCTTAACACCTCCCTGTGGGGCTGCCTTTAAAAATGACCCCACAACTGGCACAGAGGATGTAATGGCTGTGGGTGTTTGCACTGATCTGGTACCAACTGCACTGGCTGCCGGTTGCTTTCTGCTCCCATTTTCAGGCCCTGGTTTTAACTGTTAAAGCCCTACATAGTTTGAGACCCCTTGCCCCACTGTAAGCCTGCTGGGACTTTAAGTTCAGCTTCAAAGCCCCCACTCCGTTGTGGCCTGTTATGGCCTATTGGATTGATGGGTAGTAGTAGTAATAATAATAATAATAATAATAATAATAATAATAATAATAATTTATTATTTATACCCCGTCCATCTGGCTGAGTTTCCCCAGCCACTCTGAGCAGCTCCCAATCGAGTGTTAAAAATGGGAAACAGGACCTTCTCAGTGGTGGGCCCAGCCTTTCGGGATTTCCTCCTCAGGGAATTCTGGCCCCATTGAGCATTCTGGCCCCATTTCAAAGTATCCTGAAGACTTTATAAATTCCAGACTGTTTGGCTGATACACATTTGTTATCACACTGGTAAATTATTTCTATGCGGTTTTTGTAATAAATGTTTTCTGAACCGCTTGGAAAGGGCTGGGCTCTGAAAGTCTGCAAAGCAAGCAAGTTCTTTCAGCAGCAATTTTCCTGGAGATAGCTCAGTCAGTAGAGCGCGAGACTTCGAATCTCAGGGTTGTGGTTTGAGTCCCCCACCGGGCAAAAAGATTCCTGCAGTTCTGTATATGTATATATCATTGAGCTCTGTATATGTACCTGAAAAGTCTGGATCAAGCCTGTTTCTGCCAACTGGGGATGAGAGGAGAAAACCCCCAAGGAGGGCTGCCCTCCCAGTAAGTTTCCAGAGGATGCCCGGAGGGAACGCGGACGAGCCCCAGAGGCAGTTTTGAGGTTCCTCCTCCCCAGTCCCAAAGTGCCACTTACAGAACTTCACAAAGACGCTCTTGCTCTCGTCAAACGCCACTTGATCAAAGTTTCTGCCAACCAGGGTCTTGACTGGTGCCTTATCCCAGTCCTCTGCAATCTCCTCGCTCATCAGGTACGGCTGGAAAGAGGAAGCAGCGCTTAGTGCTGTGGGTCGGTGGAGTGGTGATAGACTTGTTTTTTATTTTTATTTTATTTTATGATTTTCAGTTTTATACATTTCAATAATTTTACAATCATTTTAACATTTCAAAACTTGACTTCCTCCTCCCTCTTTCTGTAGTTCCTTAAATTTATTTTTAATATTCTCTGCACAACCAAATTAATTTGCTCATTTATCCATCTACTTTAAATTCATGCTCTTATAAAACTTCAGGTTATTACAATAATCCCGCCAATGTTCTTATCTGTTTGTTTGTAAATATCCAATAAACCGTTTCCATTCTTTTATAAAAAGTTTGCTATCTTGATTTCTTATGTTTCCGGTAAGTTTCGCCATTTCTGCATATTCCATAAGTTTTTATATCCATTCTTCTTTTGCTGGGACTTCTGCTTCTTTTCATTTTGGGGCAAGTAACATTCTTGCCGCTTTAATCGCATACATGAATAAATTTCTGTACAGTTTGAGTAGTTCTCTCCCTATAATTCCCTAAAGGAAAGCTTCTGGGTTTGCTTTTACAAACATTATTTTAAACATCTTTTCCAATTCGTTATATATCATTTCCCAGTAAGCTTGAACCTTACTATGAGACCAGGAGTGGTGAGAGACTTCAGGCCTATGGGTCTCCCCCCACTGCAAGGAAGGCAGCCTCCTCCACTCTGCAGTTTTGGCCCCTTCCCTATTGCTGGGGGAAGAGGGGACCTGGCAGAGGCTGCGGCCACTGCCCCACCAGCAGCTCACCTGTAGGGCAGAGCTCCTTCCCATCTGGGGTGAGGGATGGTGGCTGTTAGAATTCCTGCTCCGTGATTGCAGTCATGGGATTGTTGTCTATCACATGACGGTGTATGTTTTCATTCCACAGTGTGGGAAGTGATGGAGACAGGATGTTTTGTGTTACTGTGTTCTGTGAAGTGGGAATATTGTCCTTTGTTCTTTCTCTCTTTGCTGTCTGATGCTAGAGAGAGAGGGAGCCATTTTGCAGTGCTCCGTGTGTGTTTATATGTAAATAAAGTAGATTAGCCAAAATGCTGAGTTGCTGAGGTCTGTCACGCAAGTTACGCAACCTCTGCGGATCCCTAAGTGTGCTGGTGTCAGTTGGCATCGGTCGCTGTGATGTTCGGGCAGAAGAAAGCTTATGAAGCTCCCGAATAATCGACCAGGAGGGAGAGAACATGCCAGTTAGGCATGTGTCTCTGCCAGGGTCCTACTCGAGTGTAGGACGAGCTCCTGACAGTGGCATCCCTGAAGAGCCTTCAAAGACTCCAACCAGAGAAGAATGGCTTATAAAATGAATGGATTATGCTGAAATGGCAAAACTGATGGTAAAACTCAGAGGACGCAGCGATGAACTGTTTATGGAAAATGGGAGGCCTTTTTTTTGGAATACCTGCCAAAATATTTTAGCAATAGGAAATTGTGTGCAGGATTTGAAATATAAACAACAACAAGCAACATGCCGGCTAATAATATACTGACTATTTTTATAACACTATACTGTTTCAAAATTCATAAACAGAAGACATACAATATGTGCATGGGGTCACAAACTAATAAGAATCAAATAAATGTTCCATGAACACGAATGGTAGGAGTGGATTTGAAATATGTGCGGGAGAAAAAAAGAATGGTCAGATGGAATTGGGGGTTTAGTAGTAAGTACAAATTATGGTGCTGGAGGAGACTTGAGAGTCCCACGGACTGCAAGAAGATCAGATGTATCCACTCTGAAGGAAATCAGCCCTGAGTGCTCCCTGGAAGGACAGATCCTGAAGCTGAGGCTCCAATACTTTGGCCACCTTGTGAGAAGAGAAGACTCCCCAAACAACGCTGGCGGGGTTTCAAGAAGCACTGTGAAAGTTGAGATATATTGTTAAAAAGAAATAGAAGTGGGAGGGAAGTTTAATGGCAATATAACCAGAGAAATGCATGATTGAAGGGTTAATATGGATGATTGCCAGAGAAGCTGAAGGAAGTCCAAAAAGAACTAAATTTGTGGAAATTATGATAAAATTGTATATTTGTGTTGGAAAAGTAATAAAAATTATTTATATAAAAAAAAAAGAGAAGAGAAGACTCCCTGGGAAAGACCCTGATGCTGGGAAAGATGGAGGGCACAAGGAGAAGGGGACGACAGAGGACAAGATGGTGGGACAGTGTTCTCGAAGCTACTAACATGAGTTTGACCAAAGTGCGGGAGGCAGTGGAAGACAGAAGTGCCTGGCGTGCTCTGGTCCAGGGGGTCATGAAGAGTCAGACACGACTAAACGACTAAACAACAACAACAACAATAAATGCAGCAATTAAGGATAAAAAACATCAGTGCAGGGTGGGTGGGAAAGACAAAAAGAAACATATAAGTGAATGATAAATTGTATGTGAAGTACATTTTTTTAAAAAAGGAATATAAAAAAGAGTCCTCGTCCCTTTCTCCCCCCCCCCCACACCCAGCCCGACCATGCGGCTGGCTGCCCACCTGGACTTTGCCCTCCATCACCTCCTGGCAGAAGGCATGGATGGCAGGAGCCGTGAGGGATCCGTCTGCGCCCAAGAGGTATTTCCTGTTGCTCTCGATGTTGATGAAGCGGATGGCGGGAGCCTCGTGGCTCTTGAGGCCAAAGAAGTGCAGGATCTGGGCTCCTTCCCCGTTGACGTCGGCCAGCACGAAAAGCACCTGCCCAGGGGGTGCACAGAGGGGCAGAGATGAGTCTAGTCCAACCCCCGGCAGGGCAGGAATATGCTCCCTGGGACTCGCCTCCCAGAAGCAGAAAACACAGCACCCACAGAAACCCCACCCCCCTCCCTGCATGGGACCACCCCACAAAGCCCCAGGGCAAATGTGCCAGCTGGCCACAGGGAGCTCACCTGTCCCCGGAAGGCAGGGGCAGCATCTCGGAAGCTGCTGAGGAGCTCCAGCTGAGAGTCCTGCGTCTTGTTGATGAAGAGCAGCAGGTGGTTTGGGATCTTTGCCCCAAATATCCTGGAGGAGTTCTAAGGGAAAGACACAGGCGGGTGTAGTGATCAGGTGGGATTGCTAGGAGGAATTATACCAAATATGGAGCAAGCCATCCGTGTCAGCAATGAAAGCATTGCGTTGACTGGGTTTAAGCCATTTTGATATTATTTTTGATCAATCCACGCCTCTGCATCCCTGTCCAATTTCTCTTGCTTGACAAGTCACGTACACAGCCCAGTTGCCGGTTGCTTCGCCAGGCCATGAAAGATAGTAGGCAGTTCTTTGACGTGCCCTTCCTTGATTTTGTTCATCTTAAGGCCATGAAATAGTTTTTCACATGAAGGTGATAAAGATCCCTATCGTCCTTGCCATCCTTCCTATCATGTTTATTGCTGTTTATGACCTCCGGGGTTGCTGAATGCATCCCTCCTTTTTAGTTCTGTTTTATTTACCCCAGAAGTATGCATGCTTAATTAGTTTTTGTAGTTTAACTTTGTCCCACGTGGGGTTTTTGAAATGCTGAGAGGAAATCTGATTGGTTCTTAAGTACACTGTGTAAAAAGTTCTTTTGTGAATAAAACGACCTGGGCCGGAGGGTGGACAGGCATTATTATTATATGCACACCTCCCAGAGTCTTGCTGGTCAAGCCTCTGTGTGTCTTCTATTAATCAGAGTCTAATCCTTCCTTTGCTTTGGGAATGCCAGAGCGGGGACCCCCCAGGGGTGGAGGGGTGTGAGTGTTAGGTTTCTGTTTTGACACACTGCCCAGTGGTGTTCACAGAAAAGGGAAGGATGTTAGGTTTCTGTTTTGCCACTGTGCAGTGCTTGGAGTCACAAGACTCTGTTTACATTCCAGACATTCCAGACTGTTGGAAGTCTCACGGGAGACGGATGTTGATATTACTGGTTTCCTGTTCCTTTGTTCCAGTTGCCTCTCTGCTTTCAGAGAGAGGGGATGTATATTCTTTTCTGTCTGTCTGTCTTAGCAATGTAGCTCATATTTCTCGTCCTTCTGCTGCTTGGATATGTTAAAACTCTGCTAAGTTATAGAACTTGCTAGGGCAACTTGGGAAGGATTTTAATAAACAATATATCCTCTCCTGCCTCCCTGAACATTCCCACAATTTCTGTGTTCTCTCTCTGTGAATATTGAATAAAAGACTTGGTAAGAACTCTTCTTTTTTTAGCTGCTTCTTGGCTGCCACTGTGGGAGGGATCATAGAATCATAGAGTTGGAATAGAGCACAAGGGCCATCGAGTCCAACCCCCTGCCAAGCAGGAAACACCATCAGAGCACTCCTGACATATGGCTGTCAAGCCTCTGCTTAAAGACCTCCAAAGAAGGAGACTCCACCACACTCCTTGGCAGCAAATTCCACTGTCGAACAGCTCTTACTGTCAGGAAGTTCTTCCTAATGTTTAGGTGGAATCTTCTTTCTTGTAGTTTGGATCCATTGCTCCGTGTCTGCTTCTCTGGAGCAGCAGAAAACAACCTTTCTCCCTCCTCTATATGGCATCCTTTTATATATTTGAACATGGCTATCATATCACCCCTTAACCTCCTCTTCTCCAGGCTAAACATGCCCAGCTCCCTTAGCCGTTCCTCATAAGGCATCGTTTCCAGGCCTTTGACCATTTTGGCTGGCCCTTGTGCTCTATGTGGATCAGATTCCCTGGAGCCTGACATGCAGTGGCTCCTCTCCCTCTGGAGGTGCTGAGCTGTGGCAGGGCTTTGCTTGCTAGAAGGGGAGGACACGAGTTGGAAGCCCCCCCCCCCGGTCATCTGGGCCAACCCCCTGCAATGCTGGAAAATCCCTAAAAGGGACAAGCAACCCTGGCAAGAAAAAGCAAGAGGAGCTGGGCTCTGGCTGGCAGAAGAAGGGTCTGAGGAACCGCAGAGCTTCCTCTCACCTGGCTCGTATACTCCATCACCAGCTCCAGGCTCTGCACCAGGATGAATTGTGCCAGCTCCGCCCCATCCAGGCCCAGCTCTTCATCCACCAGGAAGTCTTCCCGGGACTCATCATGCTGCAAGAGAATGAATGAATGGATGAATGAATGAATGAATCTTTCTTTGCATCAGCCATCAGCCATAACAATAAAGCAAACAAAATTGTGGTATACAGAGGATAAAGGTAAAAAGTCAATTATGTAAAAAACGTTTTGGGGGTTTGGGTCAATGGTCAAATAAGGGATCTTATTCTAATTGCCCCGGCGAAAAACCTTGCAACCTTTGCTGTCACCTGTTCATCTTGATCTGCCAAGAGAAAGGACACTGTAGCAGTGGTTGGGCAACCCAGAATGGACAATAATAGAAGGATGATAGCCCAGCTACTCACACTGGGTTTTAGAAAAGTGAACAACTTAATTAGGCAGCGCTTAAAATGATATTGAGCGACAGAACAATCTGGCCACAATAAGGACATTTTTCCCATGGTATGACTATTTTCCACCCATTCATCTTGACTCTCTGGCACCCTGTTTGCATAACTTAATAATTCCAAATATAGATGCACTTTTACTCTCGCAAGATTGAATATACTGCCTTCAGCTGTACTTGAGGGATGTCTCCAAAAAATCCCACTAAAAAAATGGTTATGTCCCTGGGCTGCAAGAGATGACAGAGCATGTCTGGGCAGATCCAGGGAGCACCATCTCCATCTCAGCAGCTGCACCAGTCACAGAAAGAAACGCCTCCCCTCTAAATGCCCCCCCCCCGTCTTTTAACCAACCCTGCTAAGCTCCTGGAAGTGCCCGCCTGGCCCAGCTCTCACCTTCCGGAAGAGAGAGACGGTGCCAGGGTGGGTCACGTTGAACTTCTCAAAGAGCTCCGAGCAGTTGGTGAGTGCGAAGGCAACGTCCGGAGCATCGCTGGCCACATCGTAGAAGAGGCGCACGTCTTCATCCTGCAGGTCCTGCAAGGAATGCGTGGCGGCTGAGCCGGGCACAGGATGCCAGGAGCAGCACGCAAAGGATATCCGAGGCCTGCGCTCCGTTTGTGGAGAGGAAAGAGAGTCTCGTTCTGGGAGACCTGCTTCCCCCGGCAGGGCCTTGGGTGCGGGGAAGCTGCCCTAAGACAGCAACTCCCTGGGGGCTCCCCAGCCTGTCAGCTGGGGCCCAAATGTCCCCTGGAATGTGCCAGAGGCTGACCCTCACATTTCCTCCCTTTCCCAGCTGCAGGGAACGGGCAGTAGGCTGCACCACCAGGAAACAGCAGCTCAGGGGTAGCAGCTTGGCTTGGCTGCAGGAGTGCAGAGGCGCAAGCGGGGCACTCACAGAGAAGAATCCGACCACCGCCACCACGTTGGCATCCAGGAAAGCAGCCGCCTGGCTGGCATTCTCCAGCAGCACCGCACTGGGCCCAGCTTTCTGTTTCAGCCACTTCACGATTCCCTCTGCGTCTCGCTGGCCTGGCAAACGGGCGGCAAAAGTGTGAGTTGTGGGGCAGCACCACCTGCTTGACCAGGCACTGCGTTAAGAAGGGAGAGTGGCGAATGGCACCACTCCTCTCACAGGGGCTCATGGCGGCTGAGGTTCAGATGAGAATAAGCCCCTGATGTGATGCCACTGCAAAGAGGGCGAATGCAACCCCGGGAAATCTAGGCGAGGAGCTGCAAGCGAAGAGCTCTTCTTGCTCCCTCTGAGGTGAAGCCCTCATGTCAGGGAATGGTCTGGATCTGAAGATTGGAGAATGCAGTCTCAGGCAGATCAGCTCCTCTCAAGAGGAAGGGGAATATTCCCCCCCCCAAACCTCCAGCATTTCCAGAAGCAGAGAGAGAGAGGCAGAAACAAACGTAGAAGCTGAACAGGTTAGGGAGGAGTTACCCAGCTATGAGATAATGACAAGCGATCCGGAAGGGAGCGGGCAGCTGGAAGATACATCAATTGAAAGTGGGGGAGAGACCCCCCTCCCCTTGGACTCAGAGGTCTGAACATATCGGAGAGCAAAGGAGACTGAGAGGGGGAGGGACTTCCTGTTGGCGCACTCCTTGCTGCAGAAGTTGGAAGCCAGCTTCAGAATATGCAACTGATCTCCTTGCAGAGGAGGACTATAAATCTATCAACTGCTCATTAATTCTTATCTGTGAGCTACTGGAGGAAGAGGGGAACTCCCTCGCTTGACACCTCATGCCCAAAGAGCCACAGGATAAGAACCAAGGGAGACCCTGGCTGCTGCTGGATCAGGCCCATCTAGTCCAGCATCTTGTTCTCAAAGGGGCCAGCCGGATGCTCCCAAAGGGACCCAAGGGCCGCACCAATGGGTATTCAGAGCCACCCTGCCTCCGACAGGGGAGGTCCAGGGCGGCTGAGAACGCCCCGCAAAACCACTGCCTCTTCTGACCTGTGAAGTCCGCCGGGTGAGTGCGGTTGCCGTCTCTGAACAGCTTGAGGACGGGGAAGCCGCTGACTCCGAACTCTGCGCTCAGCTCCTTCTCCTGCTCCCCGTCCACCTTGGCCAGGCGCAGCGCAGAGCCCTCCTCCTTCAGCAGGGCGGCGGCCTTGGCGTACTCCGGGGCCAGGGCCTGGCAGTGACTGCTCCAGGGGGCATCTGGGAGGGAAAAGGAGGAGGGGTGAAGCGTCAACCCCACAGGCAACCAATAGCAGTGCGGAGGTGTGTAAGGACATCTGAGGAGCCTGTTGGATCGGGTCCAGCATCCTGTTCTCACAGTGGCCAGCCAGAAGCCCCACAGGGAAGCCCACAAGCAAGACCTGGGTGCGAGAGCTACTCTTCCCTCCTGCGCTTTCCAGCAACTGGCCTTGGGAAGAATTTGCTGTCTCTGAGTGTAGGGCCAGGGCAACCCCATTGTGGTGGTGATGGGGGAGGGTACATGCACACCAGTGGGTCTCAGGAGCCACAGGCACAGCAGGAGAGTGTGGTTCTGTAGGCTGCCCTTCCTCCTGCCCTGTGGGCCTGGCAGGCCATGTTTGCTCTCCCAATAGGCCGCTGATAGCCGCATTTGCTTAATCTCATCTCCTTCATCTCTTTTTTGCCTTCCAGTGCATAGAACAGGTTTGCTCCAACAGAAGCAGCTCTGTGGTGCCACAGGATGACACGGCTGGGGTGGGGTGGGGGGCTGGAAGGTGAGGTGGGAGCTACAAGAAGGGTAATAATAATATAATGATAATTTTTTTATATACCCTGCCCTCCCCAGCCAGGGCCAGGCTCAGGACAGCTAACACCAAATATAAATTACAACAAAACATAATGAGGGAAAAGAGTTAATTAAAATGCTGCTTAAAATACAGCTTAAAATGCAGCCTCATCTTAGTAGCAGCCCATAAATCAAGACCATAAAGGGAGGGAACATCAGATATTCACCCATGCTGGTCCTACACAGGCCAGCAAAAAAGCCAAAGGGAAATTTATATACCAAATCCCATATAAGGGGTCAGAGTGAGTCTAAGCCCGAAGGCCAGGCGGAACAGCTCCGTCTTGCAGGCCCTGCGGAAAGATGTCAAATCCCGCAGGGCCCTGGTCTCTTGGGACAGAGCGTTCCATCAAGCCGGGGCCAGTGCTGAAAAGGCCCTGGCCCTAGTTGAGAGGGTACCCTTGCCGGAGGGGATGTCTCTTAACAGGGTCCGCTGTGCCCCCTCCCCTAAGCAACCAAGCAGCCACCCTCTGAAGGGGGCGCCCCAGTTTGCCCCACCTGCCCCCTCCCAGTGCCTGCTGATTTTTGCCTGGGGGTGCAGGCCAGGGGAGTCCCTGGTGGTGCCCCGTTCAAGCTCTCCCCCCTGCAGCAGCTGCTACTCACAGAACTCCACCAGGAGCAGCTTGTGCTTCTGCAGGGCTTGGGCAAAGTTGCTCTGGTTGAGCACCAAGACCCCCTGGTCCTCCTCTTCCTCCTCTTCCTCTGCCTGGTTCCTGCTCTCCTGGGCCCCCAAACGCTGCACTAAGGCCACTGCCAGCCCCAGTGCCAGCAGGAGTCTCGGGAGGCAGCCCATAGCGGCCTGGAGGAGAGAGAGAGGCAGAGTGCCGGAGCCAGGAGATGCCAGGCAGGGAAGGGGGCAGATAAAGCTCCCGGGGCAAGCCTTTCCGTGACGTGGAGCCAGAGTTTGCCCCACGTGGCCCTTCCCCACTGGCTGCCCGATAAGAGCTGCTGGGGAGGGGGTGCTGAACCCAAGGCAAACGGCTCTGGAAGCTCTGCAAACACCATCTTGGAAGTCAAGATAACCCCACAATTAATAGTAGCAATGAATGCATTTATACTCACTTGCTTTGATGTGAGCTAATTGGCCGACTTTGACGGCATCAGTGCTTTTTTCTGGGGGTATTCAAGGAGACACAGCACTGGTAGAAAAGCACTGCTTGCCTGGCACCCAATCTCCAAGCAGGGCGAGATTGCAGGGGTTCCAGACTGGGGTCCCTTGGAATGAGGGACAGCAGAGACTGTGGTGTTTTTAGGATCTGTGGTTTATTTACACGTCTACAGCCTGAACCAAAGATGGAGGATCTCGCAGCATCGACACCCCAAAAGGCCTTTCTTCTGTCACTGTGATAGCCTTGGAATCTCCCATCAATCAAGCATGGCGCTGTCTCTCTGGCTTCTCAGCCTGCAGCCTCCGCTCAGCCCAGATCTCACCCAGCCAGGCTGGCCATCGTCCTTCCACATCCCAGCCAGGCGAGGCACCCACAGTTAGTCATTGCCCTGGCAATCCAGCTCCTTAATTTCGGACGCTGATGGTCCTTGGTGTGAATTTCCCGGACATACCCAGAATACTGCAGTGGGAAGCAGCATTCCGCAAAATGTCCAGGAAAATCCAGGTGTGTGGCAAGCCATGATTTTGCCCAAAAATATCAACAACTTTGGGCAAAAAGAAAAGAAAAGCTGAACAACTTTTGTTTCAGGATTTTCACGTTTTGAAATCTGGCAGCCCTAGTCCCTTGGCCAACACCTATTTAGTTGGTCTCTAAGGTGCTACTGGACAATTTTTATTTATTTATTTTGACCCATTGGCTGGGCAAAGAGATGCTGATGGAGGTGCTTAAATGGCAGGCCATTCACTTGCAACTGCCCAGTTAGCCATGGCTTCTCCCATCAGCCATTAACCCTTTCTGGGCTCAGGACTCCAAGCGTTAGAAGGGGCTCCAGACACCCTGCAGACTGACCCAAATCACAACACTATTCTTGATGTTTTTTAATTGCTGTAACACCCCCCCCCCATCCTTGGGACTTTAGAGTGAAGCCCCCCCCCAATAATAATAATACAACAACAATAAGAAATAGCAGGCCATCTAGAGAAGGCCTCTCCTTGGCCAGACCTCCTGGGCTGCGGTTGTGCTCAGCAACCCAGAGGGGGCTTCCCAGGGGGTGTTGGCGAGACCCAAGCAGGGGCAGCGGCCGCACATGGGGGTCTTGTGTGGGGTCCTGCCCAGCTTCCCCTTGCTCTTCCTCACTTGGTCCTGGCCGGACGCAGCGCCATTCCATGGAATGCCCGCCCTCCTCCAGGCATTGTTTGAATTCCACCCCAACGGCTGCTGCCCACGCAGAGTGGCACTGCCATGGGGCTCAGCGGTGAGGCAGGTTTGGTGGGGTGTGTGTTGGAAATGGGAATCTTGGCACAGAGTGGGGGGCTTATTCTCTGGGTGGGGGAGCAAAGGAAACTGAGGAACATAGTGAGTGCCCTCCAAGAAGTGTGTGTTTCTCAATTGCCAATTCTCAACTCCTATTGGCTGAAGTCCCTTTGGCCTCCCCAATAACATATTTGAGGGGGCCAGACCCCTCCCCAAAGTTGATTGCCATTCAAATAGTGCACATGCACTGCTTCTTGTGATTAATTAAATGGGATGGGGCTTATCCCCACCCCCATATTTTATTCAACTTTGCACCCCAGCCAGCATCAAGCTAACTGCATGTTGTATTAACCTTTCCCCCACAGAGAGTAGAGGTTTGGGGCCTGGCGAAGCCCCCTCTGAAAGACAGGTAAGGAATGCTTCTGGGCAGAGACCCCCTTGGGGTGCTTGCTGACATCCCTGATGGGGGGACTGGCTTCTTTCCTCCCTCCCTCCCTCCCTCTCCACATTGCTGAGCAAGAGGAGAGCCTCCATCTCCCTGACCCTTGGCCGTCTGCTCCATTGCCCAGCAAAGCAGATTCTCCAGGTCTCTGGCCTTGACCCTCTGTGAGGAGGAGAAGGGGGTCCCGCAGACTCCCTTGGGCTGGGCCACTCTCAGCCAGGACGACCCGTTTGTGGGGAGGGCCAGGGCAGGGGGGCAGAGGCTGATTGCAGGCCAGTTGCTTCCTGCCTGCAGGTGGACGCGGATGATGAGGCGGTGGCCGCAGACCCCCTTTTGCACATGGAGGCCAGGAAGGGCCACTGTGACACAGCCCGCCAGCTCCTTGCCCAGGACCCAGAGGCCCTCAACAGCCAGGTAGGCCAGCCAGCGGCGGCAGAGGATGGCTTGGAGGGCCCCCTGCCCCACAGGCTGTGGTGGACCCCCTTCCCTTGGTGGGAGGGCTGGGATGTGCCTGCGATGGGGGGAGATGACTCCTTGCCCCCCTCCAAGGCCCCTCACCTGGACAAGGCCCACCCCACAGCTGTTCTCTTGGCTTCCCCCTCACTCTCCAGGACGCCAGTGGCCGGACGCCCCTTTTCTGGGCCACGGAGTACAGACACGAGAGCCTGGTGGAGCTCCTGCTGGCCCACGGAGCAGACCCAGCTGTGCGGGATCACGTGAGGAATTCGCCCTCCGATTGCGCTGCGAGGCTGGATCCCTGGGGGAGGAATGAATTGGGGTGGGGGTATTCACTCCCTATTGCCCACCCAGACAGAAGACCAGTTGGGAGCAGTGATGGACCTACAATTTGGGGCCCCTGAAGCTTAATATGTTATGGAAGCCCCTTCGCAACCTGTTAGAAGGTCTGTTAGAAGGGAGGGGGGCATAGCAGAGCAGCCAACTTTCCCCGTCCTTCCTCCCTTACAACATCTGTGCTACTTACCCTATTTTTATATATATTTTTATTAATTTTCAACATTATTTTCAACAATAATTAAACATATTTTGAACATCTTATACATTTAATTTTTTTTGGACTTCCATCAATCTCATCTGAAAATTTTCCAACCTAATCACTAAATATACATTTCTCACTTCTGCAATTACTTTTAACTCATAACTAACATCACTATTCTTTCTCTAATTTGCAATGCTTCATACATTTCTCCTTACAAAACTTCTTGTGGTCCTACTAGCGTAATTTGTTGATTACAGTTGCTCTTCAAATAATTCATAGACTTCTTCCAATCTGCTGTAAATCTCTGGTCCCGCAGGTTTCGAATCCTTCCTCTCATTTTATCTAATTCTGCATAATCCATTAATTTTGTCTGCCATTCTTCTTTCGTTGGAACTGTGCTCCTTACTCTCAAACTTTGTTGGTTGATATATACACACACAAAAATTAATCAATTTGAGTCAAAGCAATTGGCCTCCATCATGTGGCTCAAATGGGGTCCCCCAAATTAAGCCATGTGGACTAAAGTGGCTTCTGGGTCCCCTCTGGCCCAGAAGCTGAAGCTTTGTTCCTTTCTTAGTAGATCTGCCCCGGTTGGTAGGAAGAGGGCAGAGCTGAGTGGAGAATCTCCAAAGTGGGCTGGGCTGCCAGTGTGGACAAGCGGCTCTCACAGGCACACGTTCCCTGCTGGCATACTGCCACGCGATGCCACGGCACTGGCAGGGGTGGAGGAAGGAGTGGGGGTGGGCCGCCCCTGGTGTCACCACTGAAGGGGGTGACAAAAAGCCAGGTGGCACTCACCCAAATGGTCCACCCGCCGCCTCTCCCTCAGCTAAGAGGAGGCAGGCAGACTCCTTGGAGGCCCCGCGGAGCGTACTGCCCCAGCTGGCCCCGCTCCTGGGCACATGGCAGGCGTGCCTCCCCAGTCGCTTGATCGGCTTGCTCTGCCCCTGGGCACTGGAGGGGGTGGGCTCTGCCAGCCAGCGAGGAAGCTGGAGGCACCTTGTGGGGCTGACCAAGGAGAGGCTGTGTGTGACTGTGTGTTGCAACCAGAGGCAGGCAGGGAGGCTGCAAGGGAGGGCTGCTGCTCACTTGTGCCAGGCGCAGGTCCTCCTACCTGGAGGATCCTGGGGGCAGCAGGCCGTGGGGGCCCTGGGGTGCACAGACTGCTCCCCTGTGGAGAGAGGCGGCAAGCCTTGCAGAGTCACACAACCCCTCGAGGGTGGCCTGGGAGGTGCTTGGCCGAGGGCTCCCCCAGCTCAGCTCACCCCATTCTCTCTGCTGCCCACCCCCCTTCCCTCCTTAGGAAGGGAACCTCTGTCTGCACTGGGCGGTGTATGTTGGCAGCCCCTCCATCGCCAGAATGCTGCTGGATGCCGGCTCTGATGTGGATGCGCTGAATGGCCAAGGCGACTCTCCCCTGCACCTGGCGGCCCAGGAGAGGCGCTACGAATGTCTCGTGTGAGTGAGGGTCTCCCCTGCCCATGTGGGAATGTTGTGGACGGTAGGAGATGATATATAGATTAAATATTATCCTTCCTCACTCATGCTAGTACATTCCCCTGTGTATTGCAAGAAGTTAGTAGATTCATTAGAATCTCTTGAGTTAAGCAATCCAGTCTGGCTTCTCCAGATTGGGTTTGTTCCTGCTAAATTCCCCTTTAATTCCCTCTTAAAAAGAATAAAGACACAACAGTCTTCTCTTAAAAGTAAGAAGTAGTTTACTTACATTCAGTTCACAGTATGATCCTGAAGGCAGCCTTTAGCTTGTAGTTACAGAAGCGAGTGTGAGTTTATCCCATATGGGGATTGAGCCCATGTGCTGCTGGCTGAGAGCCAGCAGACAGCAAAAGACATCAAGAGAGCAGCATCAAGAGAAGCGTCAAGAGAGAGGGAGAGGGAAGATGGCTGCATGAACTGCCCTTTTACAGGGTCTCCCAGGGTCACGCCCATCTACCTGGTCACACGCAGGGGGAGGATGCTCCAGAAAGGTGTGACAGGAAGTCCTCCTGGCACTGGAGTGACACCCCCTTACGTGTCCACTCTGGTCAAACAGAAAATGTTGTATTTGACTGCTACATCCCACAGCCCAGTGGCCCTAGCCAGGCCCAGAGCTTGGCTGCGGAGGAGAAGCAGCCATCACCCAGAAGCTCCCTTGTGCAAGGAGATGAGAGGTCAGCACCTGCCTCTCCCTTGGCCTGGCTGTGCAGGGTGGGATAGTCAAAGAGCAGTGTAGACCAGACGCCCACTCTTTGCTAGGCTGGCACATGAGAGGCGCTGAAGCTCTAGTCTGCCAGAGAGGACTCTGCAGTGAGAGATGCTCCCGCTGTGCCCTGAGAGCGAGGGGTCCCAGCTCTGTATCTCCTCCAACTTGCCTGGGCTCTTCCTCTCTTTTTCGTCACTTTCCACCCAGCCAGAACTGTGAGAGCATCTGCTGAGTCTAACGCTCCGCCTTAAAGCAGCCTGGATTCCTCCATCAAAAAGGCTCAAACCAGCCTATCTAAGCTTCCCTTTTAAGCTGCAAAGGAATGACACCCTGCTGAACTCACAAACCTGAGGAAGGAAGGATATCTAGCAAATACCGTATTGGCCCGAATATAAACCGCACCTTAAAAATTTGGGGGGGGGGGAGAGAGAAAGACAATACCTGAATATAACCTGCTCCCTTAAAATTCTGCAGGCACTCACACCTGTAAATGGCAGATGTAGAATAAAATCCTGTGGGTACTAGAGAGGACCCGCCAGTGGGTTAAACACTTGTTCATAGCACCGTAAATGCAAATAAAAAACCAATACTGCACTGTAAAATTCGGGGAAAGCTATGAATGACATTAGAATTGATTGCACAACAGTCTCAAGCTTGCAAATTGGCAAGAAAACATTTTGACCGTATGTCTGTTTCAGCAGCTATATCGTAAAAGTCAATCTTTGTAAGGTCGCGAATTTAAGCCGCACTTATAACTTTTCACGGTTGGAATTTGGCAAAAAGAAAGTGCAGCTTATGTTCAGGACAGTACTGTATATCCTCTCCCAGCATCTATTCTCACCCCAATAGAGAGCAAGCTCCTAGCCACTCTGAGCCAGATGGGAAGGATGTGGGGGTCAACCTAGTCGACCCCCAGGGAGTCAGGAATTGCAGTGGGAGAGGAGGGAGGTCTGGGGGGAAGCCTGGCTAAAGGAGAAGGCAACAGGAAGCTTCCACTGGGAGGGGGGCGTTGTGTGGATGGAGAGCAAAGGAAACCGCCGCCCCCCCAGGTTCTCCCTGGGGCTCCTGTCTGGGTAGGTGGGGCTGCCACAGCCCTTCTTAGTCCTTCCTTGGTGCTCCAGCTTCTGACTGGAGGACTTGAGGGCTCCCCCCCAAGGGTGCTCAGCTGCCCCTCTTTGCGTCCCACAGCTTGCTTCTCGCCCACGGCGCCAAAGTCTCCCTGAAGAACAGAGCCGGCCAAGTGGCTCTGCAGTGCTGCAAGCCCAGCTCCCCTTCCTGGCGGGCCCTGGAGGCCGCCTCTGCGCGGCCCCCCCACCCGACGGAGAGGCTCCTCTGCAGGTGAGCGGCACCCGGGGGCGGCTGGGCTAAGGCGGGACCCCCTCCCTCCGACCGGGCTGCAGCTGTGGCTCAACGGGCGCTCTTGTCGTCCCCAGAGACATCTCCCGGGGCTTTGAGCAAGTCCCCATCCCTTGCGTCAACGGGGTGGACGAGGAGCCGGCCCCCGGAGCCTTCCTCTACGTCACGCAGAACTTTGTGTCGGACTCTGCGGTGCTTCCAGCGACGGGCTGGGGCAGAAGTCAGGTGAGGGGCATTGTCCACCCGCTCCTCTTCCGTGCTCCAGGGTGAGTCGGAGGGGCTGAAGTTGCTGGGTGGGCAGGGAAGCCCCACCATCCAGACGCCCCACAACTCTGGGGCGTCTTCTGAGCAGCCCCTCCAAACCAGAGACATTTCGCAGGGCTGCGTTTTGACCGTTCAGGCCTCCTTGTGCTGTTTGAAGGCATCCTCTGCCAACCTGGCGCCCTCCCAAACCCAACAAATAGCATGTTTTGGAAGACCCGGGGCTGACAGGGTCTGTCCTCAGAACCCCCTGGAGGGCGCCAGGTTGTCGAATGGTGCAGAGAAGTGATGCTGCTCCTGTTGACATTGTTTCCAGAACCGGGAGCCTTGAGGATACCCAAACCAGGTGGCTTGAGAAGGAAGGATCTGGCGGGCCTCTGCCAGGGCTGGCTCCCTGTAGAGGACCGCCAAAGCAAAATAGTAATGAAAATGAATAATAAAATTAATTAGGCGTCTGCCAAGCTGTGGCTGCAGAGTGCCCTCTGGGGGCCTTGTAGGGGGCTGAGCGTGACCCCCGAATCGCCTTCCCCGAATCGCCTGACTGCCTTGCCTTCTTTCAGCACTGCGAGTGCGCCAGTTCCTGCTCTGCGCCCACCTGCCCGTGTGTCGAGCGCAGCCTGCGCTCCTGGTACACTCCGGTGAGAGCCGCTCCCGCCCTTCCTGGGGTCAGGCGGGGAGGCCAGCCGGAGCCACTGAGGGCCAGCCGGCCGTTTCTCTCCTCTTGTGGTCCAGGATGGCCGGCTGGCGCCAGACGCGGCCGGCAGCAGAGCCGAGGCGGGCCCCATCTACGAGTGCCACATGCTTTGCTCCTGCGCCAGCTCCTGCCCCAACCGGGTGGCGCAGAGGGGCCTCAGGTGAGCCCCCTTTCCCTGGGCCAGGGGCCTGCGGGCTCCCCGGCAAGTTTACCTACTTAATATGTAGAGCTGCCCCACAGCAGAAGTACTTCAGGAAGGCAGTGGGGTGTAGTGGTGAGAGTGTCAGACAAAGACCTGGGAGATTCGAATCCGCACTCTGTCATGAAGTTCACTGGGTCAGTCACAGACTCTTAGCCGACCTCACAGGGTCGTTGTAGGGATCAGCTGAGGGGGGGGGGATGAACCATGGACTCCTTGGAGAAGAAGGTGGGAGACAAATGGAACAGATAAACACTTCTGCTGACCTGCTTAAGGAAGCTGGAGGGGCCAGCCAGGTGGGCATGTCTGTCACCAGCCCAGAGATCTCCGTGTGGTCACAGTTGGCACCCGCGCCAGTTGTGAAATGTGCTTGGTGCCTGGGGAATTTCGAAGGCTGGGTGGGAGCACCCACCAGCCTGGGTCAGATGCCTTGGCACCCTCTTCCTTTGCCCCCTGGCCAAATGGCACACGATGGTGTCAACGGCCTCTCCTTCTGAGGACGTTCTTAAGCAGAGCTTGGATGGCCGCCCATCAGGGGTGAATTGGTTTGGACTCCCGCATGGCAGGGGGTTGGACTAGATGACCCCTGGTGTCCCCCCCAACCTTGCCATTCTGTGATTCTACGAGCAGCCCCTTTCCAGATTCCTGCTTCCGTGAGGGGACCCTTTGTTCTTTTCCATTAAGGAGACGGCGCTTTGCGCGTTCAAACGCTGCCACTTTCACAGGGGCAGAAATACTTGCCGCAGCCCTGCGAGAGAAGCAAAGGAGGGAATCGAAGCCCACCCCCCCTCGCCACTTGGCTCTCCCTCCGTGCCAGCCCACCCAAGTCGCCCCCTTAGAAAAACAACCCCGCTTGCCACCCCGCCCTTGGGACTCTTGCTTGCCTGCTTCTCTTCTCGCCCCACAACCCCCCTCGCCCCTCTGGTGCCCGGTGGGGGTCCCACTTTCCGCTGCCCGAGGTGGGCCCCAGCACCCTCTCATCCGCAGGACGCAGCTGCAGCTGTACCGGGTGCCAGGCAAGGGCTGGGCAGTGCGCACGATGCAGGAGGTGCCCCGAGGAGCCTTCCTTTGCCAGTAAGTCCCGGCGGGGGGGGAGAAGAGAGGGGCTGAGTCCAGGCAATTCCCCTCCCCCCAAAAAAACCCTCATGGCCCTTTCCTCCCCGCCAGGTACTTTGGGGAGCTGATTTCCAGCGCCGAGGCTGCCCAGCGAGAGGACGCCGCCTATTCCTTTGTGGTGGACATGCAGGTGACATTTCCGACTCCACTTGGGGGGCGGGAGGGGTTTGTGCCCCCTTCCTGGGGGGCAGGCACTGGAGCTCAGCGTTGCCCCCCTCTCCCCGCAGGCGGGCCCCGAGTGCTGCCTGGACGGGCGCTTCTACGGCAGCGTGGGCCGCTTCCTGAACCATTCGTGCCAGCCCAACCTGGTGGCTCTGCCGGTGGTCGTGGGGCACGAGATCCCCGGCATCGCCTTCTTCAGCGCCCGGGCCATCCAGGCGGGCGAAGAGCTGGCGTAGGTGGTGCTGCCGGAGAGAAAGGGGGCTGCCGTGGGGTGAAGGGGCCCCCACCTCCATGCCTGCCCCCTGGACTTGCAACCAGCCAGGAGGCGGGGGGCTTCTCGGACTTCAGTCTCAGGTTTGCCCTTGCAAGACTCAGCCGGGAGGAGGCGCTGCTTGGAGCCAAGCCACTTGGCTCTGCCCGTCATTAGCTCTGGCGCCACCTGCTGGTGACCTCCCGGGGGCTTCAGCCACTCCCGAATGGGCGCCTGGCAACCGCAAGAGACGTGACTCTCCGCTCCTGCTATCCCCCGCCCTTGAACAGAGCAGCACTTTGGCTGCAGCAAATGGGGTGGCGAGAGCCGGTCCCGGAGTGTCCTCTGATCTCCTGCCGGATTGGGGGCGGCGGGAGGGGCCCAGTTTGCCCCCGGCGACGAGGGGAGCGGGCGCCCCGTCTTCACTCGGCGGCGTTTCTGCCCCTCGCAGGTTCGATTACGGCGAGCGCTTCTGGGAGGCGAAGGGCCGCCGCTGGGCTTGCTTGTGCAAGTCGCCCGGCTGCAGATACCGGCCGTCGAGGGAAGGGCCAACGGCAGACGACGCTGCCGCCGCCGCAGGAGACCCCGGCCTGGGCACTTCCACGTCCTACCCGCTACGCGGCTTCTCGCGCAAATCCGCGCGGAGCAGCCCGCTGAAGACGGCCCCGCGCCGCTCCGCGCGGTCCCGACGGCGCCCCCTGCGCTAGCCCGCGGCCCCAGCTCCTGTCTTGATCCCTCCCAATAAAGAGCCGAAGCCAGCCGCCTGTCTCGGGCCTGATTGCTGCGTCGGGGGCCGGGTTCCGTAGGGCGAGGTGGAAGAGGGAGCGGAGGCTCCTTCGAACAGAAGGCGCTTGGAACGAGCTTTCTGCAAATGCGGCCCCGAAGTGCAAATAAGGGGCCAGGAAGGATGGCGACGGCGACCCAAGACGGGAACCCTTCTGCTCTTGTCCGCACCGTCTGGTCCACTCAGTGGTCCGGCCGAGGGAGCCCCCGCCTGGGCCAAGAGGAGGGAAGGGACTCGCCCGCCGAGCTGCTGCTTCTCGCCCCGCACCAGCCTCGTGCAAAACTGAAGGAGCCGGACGGGGCGCTTCCCCGGGTTGGCCGCGACCCGCTGCCGCGCTCTGCACGCGCGCAGAGGCACCGGGCGCCAGGTGGAAGGCTGGCCGTGCAGGCCAGCAGGGGGCAGCCGAGAGCCGCCCGGCCTCCGGCCCGACGACGGTGCCCCGCCGCAGAAGCGGCCACTTGGCGCCGCCGCCGCCGCCCGCCTGCAGCAGCCCGGCCGCTCCGGGGCCGCCGCCATGACCATCAGCGCGCTCCGCCCGGGGGGCAGCCCGCGCCTGCAGCTGCCCTGCCTGGCCAAGGTGGGTGGGGGCGGGCGGGGGGCGGCTGCAACGCCCGGGGGTCTCCGCCAGCCCCGTAGGCGGCGGGGTGGGGTGGGGTGCCCCGGGTCCCCCCGCTGCCCCTCCGGGAGCCAAGGGGTCTGGGTCTGAGCGGCTGCCGCCCCGCAGATGGAGCGCGTGGTGCTGGGCATGCAGGACCCGGACATGGGCATCAAGCTGCGCAGTCAACGCCTCCTGCTCACGGTCATCCCGCACGCCATGACCGGTGAGTGACTCTCCCCCGAGGGGGCGCCCCACAGCGCGCCCCGCCGCCCCTCCGGCGCCGCTTCGCCTTCCCGGCAGCGGCGCCTCCCGCGGGGATCTCGGCGGCTGCGCAAAGCTGCCTCTGGGTGGATGGATGGACACGGGAGGGCCGGTCTGAGCCCCGCGGAGGCGCCCCAGCAATGACGGGGCCGGTGGGGGCGGGCGGCGCCGGGCTCCCTGCTGACCGGGGGGCTCCCTCTCCCCGCAGGATACGACATCGTGGAGTGGCTCCTGCAGAAATACGGCCTCTCGGAAGAGGGTGAGTCGGCGCTGCGCAAAGCCTCTGCCGCGCCCCGCGGAGCTGCTCGAGGGCGCGGCTGCGGGCGGGCTGATGTGCCGGAGGGCGGGCGGGGGGCGGCTGGGCAGGGGGCTGCTCACGACCCTCGTCCTTCCCGCAGAGTCCCTGCACCTGGGTAAGCTGATCGTGAAGCACGGCTACATCTACCCGCTGAAGGAGCCGCGCAGCCTCGCCCTGCGTGTCGACGAGACGCCCTACCGCTTCCAGGTGGGTCGGCCAGCATCTCTGGGGAGGGAGGAGAAGGAGGAGGGCGGTCCTTCTCTCAGGCTCCGGGAAGCCTGGGGGCGCAGAGTCTCCGTCTGCATCGGGCAGCCCCTGCCAGGAGGGCCTTGAAGCGCAGCTGGGGGTGGAGCAGTGCGGCCTCTGGGGGCCAAAGGGGCTTGGCTGCCTCTTGCCCCACTCCCCCCATTCAGGCAGGGCCGGGTTAAGATCTCTAGAGGCCCTAAGCACTTGGAAGATTTGGGTGCCCCCATAGATATCTAATTCAAAATATAAACTATAATAAACTGCAGAATAGATTTTAGTTTTTCGAAATGAAATGAAACCTACAGTCAGATGGAAAATAATATTTATTTTTATATACTTTATTTACATTTTTTTTTGGGGGGGTGAGGGAATCCCATACTTTTTCTAACTGCAAAGTCCATGGTAAATCGGGCAGTGGGAGATGTCTGTGGTGCCCTCTTTCGATGATGTCCTTAGCAGGTGCTGCTTTCAGTTCATAGTTAATCCGGCCTCTCTCTCTGCGCTCCACAGACCCCCTATTTCTGGATGAGCACCAAGTGGCCAGCGACAGACCTGGATTATGGTGAGAGCCACTTCTCTGCCCCCCCCAAGAGCCAAGGGAGTCCCAGGAGACCTCTGGGCAGCTTGAGCCCAGGCAGTGGGGGGAACCCCCGCCCAGGTTCCCTGGCCAACAAGAGACCCTCCCTTTTCCAGCCATCTACCTGGCCAAGAAGAACATCCGCAAGCAGGGAGAGCTCATTGAGCATGAGAAGGTAAAGGGGGGGGCATGGTGGGTGGGGGCAGGTGGGGAGGGGGGAGTGCAGCCCCCTCTTCATGCTTCCTGGCTCCCCTCTTCTGGAATGACGGTATCCCCTGCAGGAAGATTACAACCAGCTGCACAAAAGGATCAACCACACCTGGGACTTTGTCGTTATGCAGGCCAGAGAGCAGCTCCGGTGAGTTTGTGGGGGGCAGGAGGAGGTGGCAGCCATGTGGGGTGTGGGGCTGGGAAGCCAGAGGCCCTGAAGCTCCGTCCCTCCCTCCTCTTGACCCCCCAGGGCAGCCAAGCAGCGGCGGAAAGGTGACCGGATCGTCATCGATTGCCAGGAACAGGCCTACTGGCTCGTCAACAGGCCCCCGGTGAGGCGGGGAAGGGGAGGCAGCCCAGCCTGAGAGAGGCTGCTCCCCTTGCAGGAGGATGCCAGCCCCACTGTTCTCCTAACTCGCAGGGCCACATGGGGGGCAGGGGAACAAAGGCCCTTCTAGGCCAGGCAGATGCCCCCTAAGAAGCCCACAAGTGCAGAGCCGGCGACACGCCAGGGTGTCGGCCTCTCAGGGGCACCCCAGCAAGTGGGGGAGCTGCGCGGCTTTGCTGGTGGCCTCCCCTTTCCCTGCATGCCTGCCAGCTGTGCCCCGCCAACCATAAGGCTGCCAGGCGTGCAGCTTCCCTCCCAAGCCTCTGCGGGGATCGCTCTCCCACAACAGCATGGGGGAGAGTTGCACACCCCCAAATGGCTGGCAGTGCACAGTTACGGCCACCCCAACATTATCTGTGGTATTTTGGGGGCGCTGGGTGGATATTTGCACCACATCTGCTAAAGACGGCCCTGCACAAGTGGGGCTTGAGCTGAACAGCGTGACCCCTAGCAACTGGTGTTTAGGGGCAGACTGCCCATGAACAGGGAGGGTTTGTATGGCTTTTTGGGATGCAGGTGGCACAGTGGTCTAAACCACTGAGCCTCTTGGGCTTGCTGGTTGGCAGTTCGAATCCCCATGACTGTCCCAGCTCCTGCCAACCTAGCAGTTTGAAAGCACACTAGTGCAAGTAGATAAATAGGTACTGCTGTGGTGGGAAGGTAAACAGCATTTCTGTGCGCTCTGGTTTCTGTCACGGTGTCCCGTTGCGCCAGAAGCGGTTTAGTCATGCTGGCCACATGACCCGGAAAGCTGTCTGTGGACAAAGACCAGCTCCCTCGGCCTGAAAGCAAGATGAGCCCTGCACCCCAGAGTCGCCTTTGACTGGACCTAACCATCCAGGGGTCCTTGACCAATATGGCTGTTATTGCTAATAGGTATCACACGAGCTTTCCCAGCCATCTCGGCTGCCGCCTCCCACTGCCCTGTTCTTCCAGCCAGAGTGGCATTGCAGAGGGGATGGCGTGGGCATCTCCTGGGCAGTGAGCTGCTCCTCCTCCTCCTGTACTGGCCTCCCTTGCCCACGGGCAGCTGGGTCCAGAGCAGAGGAGGCCCCTGAGGCCCCTCCTTGACTCCTCTGGCCCTGGGAGGCAGGCCAAGAGTTTATCCTGCACCCACAGGGCGCCTCCAGGTTGGCAGCAGAGTGGGAACTTGGAGCCCCGCTTGCCCGGTCGCAGGGTGGGCCCCCCCGCTCTGGGAGGGAAGGGTAAAATCCAGCCCCTCTCTCTCCTGCTTGCAGCCTGGCAGCCTGAACGTGATGGAGGAAGGGCCGGAGAGGAGGAACTGCCAGAGCACCCGAGTCCAGCTGGTGAGTGCGGTGGGTGGTGGCGGATCTGGGGGGGGGCAGTGGGGAGCGATGGGCACATTGCTGGGCCACCCTTGCCCTGGGCTCTGTGCCCCAGACCTCCCTGGGCAGCTGCTGCAGCTGCATAAGAGCCTTTGGCATGGCTTGCTGGCTCCCAGCAATGCCCCCAGCACCTGCCTCTTGTTCACCTATGGTGGGAGGCACCCTCTGTGCCAGCCTTACCGCCTGCTTTCGCTTGGTGGTAGAGCGATGCCTGCCTTTGGCTTCCTTGCAAGGGGCTCTATCTGTTCCCTTCTCCTCCATTGCAGTGGGTGAGTTGCTGGCCCAGAGTGGGGCTGGCAAAAACCTCCTGTGCCTGCCCCACTGCGGGTTCCCCTTTGGTGAGGACATGCCTCTGTGTTGACTTTTCTCTTTCTGGAAGGTGCCTGTCGCCCTGGCTCCCTTCGCCCCCTTGGCAGGCCCCCCCCGGGCTTTGAAGATTATAATATTAATATAATTATTCATACTTCACCTTTTTCCCTGATGGGACTCAAGGCGGTTCACAGATATATATAAGAACTGCTATAAACCTGGCCGGGGGGCAGGGGGTGTGCAGGAATTGTTAAAAAACAATTAAACATTGATAGAAGTAAAACAGTATACCGTATTGGCTCGAATATAAGTCACACCCGAATATAAGCCGCACCTTTAAAATTCAATGGGGGGGGGGGAGAAAAATGCTTGAATATAAGCTGCTCCCTTAAAATTCCACAGGCGCTCACACCTGTTCCCTTTTACCGTTTGTCTGTCTCAGCAGCGATCTCACAAAAAATGCCAGTTTTTGTATGGCCATGAATTTAAGCCGCACTTTTAACTTTTCGCAGTCGGAATTTGGAAAAAAAAGTGCAGAATGTAAATGGGTAAAATTGATGGTAACTGCAGCCAGACAGGTTATAGCGAGTAATTGGAAAAATGCAGAAGAGTTAGGGGTGAACCAATGGAGGAAAAAACTGAATAATATGTAATTTTAGAATATCTAACTGTGAAGATACACAGAATGAAAGGGTTTATGGTCAGTGAGAAAGAGGAGGATTGGTTTGAGAATATTATTTG